CCTAGATGATGCAAAGAAGAATAACATAAGACTGATAGGAATCCATGAAGTAGCAGGAGAAAATACAAATGGCTTAAAAAAGCTGTTTTCAGAATTAATGACAGAAAACTTCCCAAACAGAGGGGAAGAATTTCATATTCAGATAACTGAGGCATATAGGATCCCAACTAGCTACAATAAAAAAGAATCTACACCTAGACATATAATAATCAAGATCCCAGAAACCCAACAGAAGAACAAAATACTACAAGTAGTAAGAGAAAAGAAACAAATCATATACAAAGGAAAGCCCATAAGAATAACAGCAGACTTTTCAACACAAACCCTTGGGGAAAGGAGAGCCTGGAATGAGATATTTCAAGTACTAAAAGAGAACAACCTCCAACCTAGACTGATGTATCCAGCAAAATTCTCTTTCAAAATGGAGAGGGAAATAAGACATTTCTATGACAAAGGACACCTGAGAAACTACATGAATACCAAACTAGCACTACAAGTAATTCTAAACAAGATCCTAGAAAAAGACAATGAAGGCAACAACACCATGAGGCCCAATAGAGCAAATCAAATAGGCAAGGCAAGAAATTAAAAGGAGGTGACAAAGTAAAAAGAGTCAACAAAAGGCCAATAACATGTCAATAATAAGTCAGTACCTATCAGTTATAACCATCAATGTCAATGGCCTCAACTCACCAATCAAGAGAAATAGACTGGCAGAATGGAATAAGAAGCAAAATCCAATAATATGTTGTATACAAGAAACACACCTAGTGCAAAAAGAAGCCCATAGACTGAAAGTGAAAAGATAGAAAACAATTCTCCATGTGACAGGAGCCCAGAAAAAAACAGGAGTAGCAATCTTATTTTCAGACAAAGTAAATTTCAAACCAAAACTGAATCTAGTATTATTGATGTAGGACAGTGTTGTATCATGCCTCTATGAATGTAAAATATCTAGTACCTGCTTTATGATACATAGTAGGGACCGTGCTTTATCAGAGCTACATTTAATGATATTACTCTAGAATGTTCTCTTTCCAGATGATGATTAAGAGGCTAATAGAAAAAAAATGGTGCCAGGTACCACAGCAGCAACAGAACTTGGCTGTTGTCTGGATATTATTCTTTTCTTTGTTTTTTTTTTTTTTTTAACGGAATGTGCTGAATGTCTATAATTTTGTTCAGATGACTGCGGAACCTGGAAAAGCTGTTGCTACTATCGATGCATAACATA